GCTGTACAAAGCCACAAGCACCTTCACTTAATTTTCCTCTGTTTTAAATACCAAAATAATCACGGTGCTGCTCCCCCCATCTAAAGATTACAGAGTTTAACTGTTAATAGTGCTATGTAGCCAAAAGCCAGCAGCTAAAGAAAAAGTTTCTGACCTAGTTCTCAAATACAAACTGATCTTTTACTTGCCACTACTACTTTTTGCAACCTGGTTCTTAGACTTCCAGTTACCACAGAGCTATTTCTTAAAAAGAGTTCCCTCTTGGGGAATTGGGTGAAAAAAGGTGAAGGGATTAGCCAAAGAACATATGTGTATAACCTACAGACACAGACACTACTAAGATGATGGCCAAAGGGAAGGCGAAACAGGAGCTGGACAGGGTGTGTGTATGTGTGGGAAGGGTCTGGGAATGAATGGGGATATGTATAGTGTCAATAGTAAAATTAAGTTAAAAAAAAAAAAAAAGAAGTTCCCCCTCTCACTTTGATGGCTGTAGACAAGCCACTCTATATTGTTTTCCACCTGTTTAAATTACAATATCCTCAAATCAACATTAGTCCCCTGAAGCAGAGACGTTATTAATCAACCACTCAGGCTTGTAATTATGAGCCTAATGCTAATCTTTAGATCTAATTTTCAAAATACTAAAAAGAAAATGACCTGTGCACTGAAAAGGTCACTAACCTTTTTTTTGCTAACCTTTTTTTTTGCGAGTACACTCTCTAAGATATTTGGCTATCCTATGTATTTGCTGGTTTTAAACTATATGTATGGAGTGCTATATAGCTATAAAATGAATCTGCAAAACAAAATTTAGAAGGCAGAGATAAAGAACTTTTACTATTTTCTCCCAAACCTCACAGATTATACATTATTAGAGGTCCAGTGCATGGATTCATACAACAGTGGGGTCCCTTGATGTAGCCTGTGGGGATTGGCCAAAACCAGCAGTCCAGTGCCGCCTGTCACCCTGCCTGCGGCTCCTGCTCATCCCAGCCCCACTATGCCTGCTGCTTCTAGGTAGGCTCGCTGCCCTTCCGCTGCATTCTCTGGGCTGTGGCAGCCAGCAGAGAGCCCTGCGTCTAGTGCTCATCTGTCAGCTTAGCGGTGGTCCCACGGTGGGAGCGCACTGACCACCAGGGGGCAGCACCTGCATTGAGCGTATGTCCCTGCATTGGTGGTCAGTGTGCATCATAGCCACCAGTCAAACCAGTTGACCAATCCCTTAGGTTTATATATATAGATATATATAGATATATATAGATATATATAGATATATATATAGATATATATATAGATATATATAGATATAGATAGATAGATATGCCTTCTTCGGGGACTGTTGACCTAAAGAACCACTATATTTTAGCCTAAGTATCTTTTTCCTAACACACGTCATTACTATGCTAGAGACTGCTTTAGGTCCAACCTTGTATTGAACAAATTGGTTTGGAGGGTTCAGTAAGACCTAATTCACAGGTCTCACTCCAAGGAAAAAAGAGATACTACTGTCAGGCAATTATTTACAGATCATCTATGCCTGAAGCCCTGTGTTCTAGGATCTCTTTGGGAGAGCTACTGTGACTGTGCCCCTTTATGGCAGAAGCACCACAGAACATGCTAGAGGTATGAGTCCTCTCTTGAAGAACCTAGACATAAGGAATACAAGAACACTCCAGCAATGTAACACTATAACTGATGATGACTCATAAGAAAAATGTTCAGAATCCCCATCATGGGCAGCCTGCTGACTCAAGGATAAACAGAAAGATGGAGACAAAGACCGTCAACCTGCAGTTCTCAAAACAAATCATTCAATTTACTTCTGACAATAAGGAAACTCTGTCCTCTGATGTCAGAGCCATAGTTTTTGTTGTTTAAATATATTTTTATTGATTTCAGAGAGAAAGAAAGAGCGAGAGAGATAGAAATATCAAAGATGAGAGAGAATCATTGGTTGGCTGCCTCCTGCACGCTCCGCCCTGAGGATCGAGCCCGCAACCAGGGCACACATTCTGCCTGGGAATCAAACTGTGACCTCCTGGTTAATAGATCAATGTTCAACCAATGACCCATACAAGTCAGATGTCAGGAACATAGTAAGGCTAGCTCAGGAAGTCAGAGGGGGCACAGAGAGGCTTCTTGAAAAGTACACCAAGATGAACTTGATAACTTTTAATGTGCAGGCTGAGCAATCTCAACTTTCCTTCGGATTTTTTAGAAGATGACCTGCACATTGCATTAATTTCCTTCCAAGTGAGAAATTCTCAATCTTTTCCTAGTTAAGAGCTTATGTAATCACCTAAAAGAAGGCCTGGAAATGTGTGACAGAGAGCTCAATCCTTGCTTATCATTTCACTTTACAGAGACCTAAAATGTTACCATGAGTTCCTACTGTAATACTAAAATGCAAGAAAAAAATGTAATCAACATAAAATCAATTAACGAAACTAGATATAGCAACGAATTCTGCATTTCTAGTCTTCTATCTAAATTACCTTCTGATGTGTTATCCACAGTATTTAATGGTTGGCCACTGTATACACATAATCTTTAATGATACAATTACACTGAAATAGCAATTACCTTTAGAGATCTATTATGTGAGCTTTATGCATATTATTTTTAGACCAAACCTATGCGATAGATTTATCATCCAATTTTACAGACAAAGTACAAATTTTGAGATATTAACTTACTTACCTAAAATCACATTTTGTAATACATAAAGCTAGGATCTGAAACCAAATCTGCTTTTAGAACTCACATTTTAAGCACTACTTCATTACATGCTGTATTTCCAATTATGTGTCTCCCATTCTCCCTATTTCCTTCAATGATATGCTTTTCCACCATCTGGCTAAGAGCATAATTATAATACAACTAGAGGCTTAGTACATGAAATTTGTGCACTGGGGCAACTGCTGGTTTAGGCCTGATCCCAACCTGCAATCAGATATCCATCTTGCAATCCGCGACTGCTGGCTCCCAACCGCTCACCTGCCTGCACTCCTGCTCATCAGCCCCACCACTGTGGCTTTGTCCAGAAGGACATCCAGTCTATCCGGTCTAATTAGCATATTACCCTTTTATTAGTATAGATGTGATAAGCAGTAACATGATGTAGTGCAAAACAACACAGGCTTTAGTATCTGAAAGATCTGTGTTTAAGTTCTGTTTCTATTTCTTACTAAAATATTACTCCAAGAAATGTACTTTATTTTCTGAGTATCTATTTTGCCATCTGTAAAAGAAGAATAACTCTCTTGCAGACTTGTTCTGAAGATTAAATGGTCATGTATGTAAATCATATTGAATGGTGCCTGGTAATATAGTTAGCATGCAATAAATGCTATTATTATTTTCAGATACACAAAATAGTATGGGAGAAGAAAATACATGTCTACATATGAAGGACACAAGTACACAATATTCAAAGAAGGATTCCTACTAGTTTCGGTGCCTAAGCTGAGCACACGAGTCTCTTTTTCTCTATCTCTCAGGATGTTTCAATGTGCATGAGGTTCACTCCTTGACTGCTACCTAAACATATTGGTAGTGCTAACAGGAAACCCTGCACTGAGGGCCAAGATTGGAAGGAAAGAAGAAAGACTAAAAGACCTGAAATCAAAGGACTTGAATGTTTTCAAAGCTTCTGGCTGGAGTGGATAGGAAGCTGACTCTGACTTCCCACTGGCTAATCAGGATGGTCTGTCTCACTCCAGGACAAGGTTCTCTTCTATCTCCCTTGGAACTACCCACTCGAGCTTGGGTACTAAAGACAGGAGGGATGAGAGCATGCCCTGCCTCAAAATTGGTCATGTGGAATAGAAGAGTAAAATTAAATTCCCAGAGTTCAATGCCTAGATGCTACTCAAGAACTGTGCAAGGTCAGGCCTCTTTGAGTTAGTTTAACATAAAAACTATGAGCATTTGAAAGGGCTGAGGTTTCAGAACGAGTTTGTACACAGAAATAGTTTGGGCTATTTTTGTTGAAAAGTTAAAAGGACTTTTTAAATTATAAAAAATACTTTGACTGTGACCTTTAGAAAAACAATATAATTATTTTGACTCTTCCAAATATAATCCTTGAGATATTTTAAATAACAGGCAGCATTATTGGAAAAGGCAAATTTACTGTTTAAAATAAATTGAGCTATAGGCTAAGGGAGCAATGGTCATTATGACTGCTTTTTAGAGAGCTACAAGATTCATGACTTCATATTTAATAAAAATGTCATAGATGCACAGAGATTTCTGGGAGACTTTATGTATCTGAAAAGAATAATTTCGGCATACCCCCTGCACTGAAGATGAAAAAGTAATTTTCCAAAACTATTAGGATATTCTAATAGTCAAGTTAAAACACTGATTATCTGTACTACAACTTCTCTCACCTTCCAGTCTCCATTGTTTAAATATTTTTTGTAGTAAGTCCAAGACTCAGACAAATTAGCCACATTCTAGAAAATGGGCAATATTATGTTTCATGTTATAATATTCTTCAGACATTAGGAAACTGCCTATCTTCTTGGTTCTAGCCGAAAGTTTAAATCAGTCAATTTGACCTCCAAGAGCACCACTTTGACCTCTGCTCACACTGCACTCCCAATATTAAGCACAAACTATATCACTTCAAAATTGATGGAAGAAATTAGAGAGCATCCTGGCATGGGCACCACATTAAAACCAGTAGCTAATTTCTATGAATAATTCAGATAAGAATGAAGCCAGATAAGAATGATGTATGGCCCTAGCTGGTTTGGCACAGTGGATAAGAGTGTCAGCCTATGAACCAAAGGGTTCTGGGTCAGATTCTGGTCAAGAGCACGTACCTTGGTTGCAGGCTCCTCTTGGCCCAGCTTCCACAACTAATCAATGTGTTTCTCTCACATCAACGTTTTCCTCTATCTTTCCCTCTCTCTTACTCTCTCTAAAAATCAATGGAAAAATACCGCCGGGTGAGGATTTTTAAAAAACAACAAGAATGATATACGTACCTGTACCACAGGATCTTTTGGTTGGTGTGATTAACGAGACATGAGCTGTGTCTGTGCATGGCCCACCTAAAAACAGAAAGGCAGGCACATCAGTCAGGACATACCGGCTACATGCCCCACAGCTGCTATCTTGGATAAAGAGAAACCTAAAAAGGCAGAGATTAACCTGCAAGTAAACATAATAGAAAAGATGGAAAAGGTGGTGATAGTGGTAGATGAACTTAGTTCAGCAATTTAGATCTATATTTTTTTCTACATTAGAACATGCTTTTTGTAAAAAACGAATTGAATATCACATAATGTTAAAAAGTTAAGGGTTAAAATTTTAACTAGAATCCCAATCCAGCAAGAAGAAATTACCCACAAGTTTGGGGAGATGAGTTTTTCTACAAAGCAACAAGTAGGAGTACAACCTCGTAGGCTGATCTCAGTTGTTATCCTACCTTTGAATTCATTGCAAAACTAGCCTTATTTTCCTTTTTTGAGGGGGGGGGAGCTGCCTAAGGAACAACAAACTGCTTGTCAAAATAAATAAAGATCATTTTAATATATAAAAAGATATTGAAAGCAAGAAAGAAATATCTAGCTTAATTATAAGAAATTAATAAATAAACATAAAGACCACTGGTTCTTGATATGCCCTGGAAAGGGCCGTGGTAATGATCATAAAGAAATAGAACACACAGGCAAATGTCAGACATATTTTCTGAAAAGGGCCCCAGGTGACTATGAATAGTAAAGGTAAACATGGTTAACTGACAGAGTTGTATATTATCCAGAAGAAGATTTCATATCACTGAAATTATTAATCGAAATGAAAGAAAGATGAAAAGCTCTGAGACCTATTCTTAGAGTTTATGCCATGAAGATCCATGGGATTTAGGGACCTGTAAATCGTGCCTAAGAGTTCATTGTTAGTCCACTCTTTCCTACACCAAGGATGTAACATCAGTTTGGCAAACCTTAGTGGGTATAAGAAAACACAGAAGAAAAATGAAAAGGGGGAGGAAAAATTAAGTAAGTGTATTATTGTCAAAGAACACTTTGCAAATACCTACTATGTGCCATCATGGGTGTCTCATGCTCAGGGATCTTACAATCTTATTAGGAGGACAAAATTAGTGTAAATAATTGAGAACAATACATGATAGCAATAAAGAGCTGGATCAAAAATGATCAAGTGTCAAAGAATGCTAAATGTAATCAGAAAGAGGGATATTCATTATTGGTCATTATCATTTGGAAATACTTTTGAAGAATTTCAAAATGAGGCAAGAATAAAATGAAAAGTTAGACAAAAAAACAGGGCATTTTTCTACAAATATCACTTCCCCAGAGAAAGCTTAACATACTAAAATTACATAGATTCAAATAGGCAACTGTGACATGAAAATAAGTAACATAGAGCCCTGGCTGGATGACTAAGTTGGTGGGAGCATCATCCCATACACCAATGGTTGCAGGTTTGATTCCTGTTCAGGACACATACCTGAATTTGGGGTTTGATCCCCAGTTGGGCGTGTACAGAAGGCAACCCATCAATATTTCTCTCTCACATCAATGTTTTTCTCTCTCCTTTCCTTCTCTCCCCTTCCTTTTTCTCTCTCTCTCTAAAAATTGATTAACATATCCTTGGGCGAGAATAAAAAACAAACAAAAAACAGTGCAAGCTGCTTGACTGAATCAAGAGACTAATGTACATTTATTAAAATCTTTTAAAATATTTTTTATTGATTTTTAGAAGGGGGGGGGGGAGAAAAACATCAATGTAAAAGGAGAACATCAACTGGCTGCCTTCTATACACCCCCTATCAGCAAACAAGCCTGCATCCTGACGAGGAATCCAAATGGCAACCAACTAAGCTGCACTGACCAATGCTTTTAAAATCTTTTTAAAAAACTGAGGTATAACAATAACAAAATACTAAAATGAAATGTACAAATCTTAAATGTACACCCTGAAGAGTTTAAATATCCTAATATAAAAAACCCAGGGTCTGTAATGACAAAAGGCTCAACCAACCAGAAGTCAGTTCTGCAGTCAGTGCTTGATTGCAGTGGCGACGCAGCACTGACTGCCGAGGGGACTGTGGATCAGGCCTGGAGAGAGGCCGGGACAGAGAAGCAGGGTCTGATCCGTACGTAGCCTCTGTGGTAGTTGGCTGGGACTTGTGAATTTACACTCCCATGTTTACAAATGCAAATTTCACCTCATCTGTAGGGTGACAGTTATCCTTTCTAAAACTCCTAATGAATGAATTCCTATGCAGCTTTGGCAAGTGTGCAAAAAACTTTCAGGCTGCCTAGCATACATAACTCCACATGCATCACCATGAAACTGCTCTCCAGAGAGCTTATTAAACTAACAACCCAATCCAATATAGTCACCAAATTACAGTAAACACAAATAGAACCAGAGCTGAGCCCAAACAAATTGACAGCAAGAGTAACTAGCAGTGATAATAAATCCCAGCTTTGATAATTGCACAATATTATAAACAGAGAGTTTGGAATTCACCTTGGTCTGACAGACTATAACCTATGAAACTCTTTAAAAATCCAGAATAGATGCATAGGAACACTGTACGTATAGACTACGATAACTGTGCAGTCATACAAAACTAGTGTACTCTCAAATAAAACAAGAAGCCACAGGAGATGTGATGTATACTCCTACACAATTAGTTTCAAGTCAACTCTGTTAAAATGAATGTAGGAAATTACGGGCTACTCAAGAGGAACCTTTTCAGGTTTCTGACTACAATAAAAATATTAACTCGAGTCCCATGTGGCTATAGCAAACAAAATAATTTTGAAAGTTGATGGCAAGGATCAAAGTCAGGGCATCTCCTCCATCAAGAATTGCTGTTGTCCTTTTTCTTTTTTACTGGGTTAACGTCTGAGAGAAGGGCTGGCATATGGACCCACAAATCATTGTAAACTCTGTTTTTGGCTCTTCTTCTTCTCCTTCTCAGTAGGGTGCACTGAGCTAATAACTTACGAGCAAGGTGTGAAAAGTGTCCTGATGACTGGGTTCTATTGGAGGTGTGTGTGTGTGTGTGTGTGTGTGTGTGTGGTGGGATCAGACTGGGAAAATAAATGTATTTCTAAGCACAGAACGATTCCTATCACTACCTTTGAGTCTATATTAGTGGCAACTGAGTTTTGAATAAGTCTTGGATTTTTAAACGTTAAAAAAATAAAAAAGCAGTTAAGTTTCTTTCTTAATCTGACAGGCTCTCTCCGGCCAGGTAACAAGATTAACCAACATGAACTCATTTTCAACCAAGCACCATGATTGCATTTTACTCTCTTTTGCAAAAACAAATTAATCATCAGAATTTTTTCAAGTTTCTTCTTTATCTAAAGCTATTCAATATATCATTTTGCATTTGATACTACAGTCAGGACTTTTTCCTAAGTTTCAACAATTTAGAGTCTGTGGTAGCTATGGTTTGTGACCATAAGTCTAAGTATCCTACCTTGTCTTCTAGGGATGTTTCCGGCCTTATATTAAAGGTGTCATACATAATGCAGCACTATGGGTTGCATTTGCAATTCCACATGAGAACCATGAAATGAAATTCTTCAGCTTTATTCCCAACAACTAGAAATCTTAATAGCATTTGCAACAGGATAGTGGATTTTCTTGGGGAAATAGTACTGATTTCAGGCCTGTAAAGCTGAAGTCTAGATATTAAATTCACTGTAACTTACAAAACCAGGACTGAATAAAGGTATCACATTAACCATCAACACTGACATTTCAAGCTAAAGTAGCAGAATACTTAAATTTTCTTTTTAAACTGTAGAGTTACTGAACATGCCAAAAAACCCCGAGCTAGCATCCATAAACTGGTTGAAGATTATAATTCAGGAAAAGCAGAGAACACAGGTTTGGAGGACAGCTGCATTTAGGCTGGCAATCATTTTAGGCCCTCAAAATTTAAGGCTGAATAAATACAGAAAAATAGTATTTCTCCTTAACCTTGGAAATAGAGATCAGCAATCTACCCAGAAAGCTTTTGTTAAAACAGCTGTGATGACTCTTTGTTTTCAGTTCTTGGTTCTATTGCCCTCATTGGCTGCAGTTACACCATGTGCTAAAACACATCAATTGGGACAAATAGACTGTCAAGGAGTCAGCCAACTAAAAACTATAAGAAGCTCAATAACCAAACAAATATTCTATCGGATCCTTCATGTTAACTGCAAAGCATTAATACACAAAATAGCCATTCCTTTTGCAGATTTATAACACTTTAATATCCTTGTTTAATTAACATGACATTTACATAACAGCATCTAATTAATTTCCAACTAAAGGCACTGTGAGCTAATTAGAAATGCATCATCCTTTTTTAACCAGCTTGTCAATTCCACTCTATCTTAATCTGCACATTGTTTACCTTTGCAGCATCCAAGTTTTCTGGGCTCATAGTTCCAAAGGTGATTTAGGACAAAAGATTTAGGAGCTAAAATTATACCCCCTCTCTAGAGATTTATATCATATTGAGAGTTTTTTTAAAGAGACATTTCAGAAAACAAACATCCATACAATGGAGATAGTGAAATAAACTCTACAGTGTTTCCTGATGTGACCTTATTAAGAATGTAAAAACAGTCGAAACCAGTTTGGCTCGGTGGTAGAGCGTCGGTCTGCGGACTGAAAGGTCCCAGGTTCGATTGGGGGCATGTACATTGGTTGCGGGCACATCCCCAGTGAGGGGTGTGCAAGAGGCAGCTGGTCGATGTTTCTCTCTCATCGACATTTCTAGCTCTCTATCCCTCTCTCTTCCTCTCTGTAAAAAATCAATAAAATATATTTTTAAAAATGTAAAAATACCTTTTAATAATCTTCAAAGAGACCATATTTCTTCAGCAGTAAAATATTCCTTCTTTTAAAAGCCTTCAATATACTAATACACATAAAAACTTAAATTAGTAAATGGTAATAAATGAGTATCAGGTACAGACCAGAATGCACAGGAAATAAGTCATCTCTTCGGAAAAGAAAACCTATCCTCCAACCTCACCCTAAACCTGCAATTCATGAATTGTTTTAA